TGGGTGAGATCGGGTTAAATCAGCTTGACTACCAATGGGTGTCGGAAATCGAGAGGTGGTGTGTGTAGAGGTATAGATTTCTTGGAACGGTAATTTCTACTGATTCATTTGTTCGACATTAGACTCGGTTGCATCAATTCTTCGCCGGCTGGAGAATGTGAGGCCCCGACATTTTTGGTGGCCACGTGGTCATCGGTTCAATCGTCGATAAGGCGACACGGGCCACTCCACGGATTCCAATAACTAGTTTCCAACACACACGAGCCTTGTGTGTGACAAGCCACGATACGAAAGATTTGTTATGGATATCGCTTTTCATATGAAACACCTTGGCTATAGACAACGAGGGACAGAAGCTTTCGTGTAGGCAGCTTTTTTTGAACAGTTGATGAACTCCTATGTACATATCTACAGTTAATATCTTCCTAGACACTTTTCGCTTAAGTTTAAAACCTTATGATTTGAGTCCTCGCCAGCCTTTAGCCACTCGCCAATTGTCCATTGTCCCTCGAGTTTCCACGGTGAATGCCATGGTGCGATGGTTGAGTAGCCGGTAGTTGATTGATTACAGGGAGAACGAGATCATGAAATCCTTGAAGGTGTGTGCTCAAGGAAGTGCTTATTCAATAGATTAGCGCAAGAAATCTGTTTTTTTTTTTTTTTTGCATCAGATTTTTATTGCGTATGCAGCTATCTAGCTATGACACAATATCGGAGAAAAGTACAGAATAGATGATTCAACGTAAAGGAAGAGCACTCATGCCTCAGATTTCATTTGCAAGTACCACTGCGAAGTTATGGTGGCTTTTTCTTCACCCCAAGTCAACCCTCATCCGTGAATACCCACCCAGGGGAACGTCTCAAAAACCTTGAGTAGTCCAGACATGCCTCCATCATCTTTCAACTTTTCTCCGCGCGATATGTGATCTGAGGTGTCTCCTTCCCAAGTGGAGTAGGTGCCCAGGCTACTCAAACTATACCAGAGAACACCACCAGGAGGCGGATCACAACACCTTCCATCGTCTGCTTGTGTTTATAGTGTCAGCTGTACTCTCGCAAGCGAAGCCTTGGCGCGCACAAAGCTCATTCGTAAAACTCTTACCAAAATTCAGAACTTCACGCCCTTCGAGGTAATATCCTTTCTTTGCATCATCTTGTAAACTTGTCCTGATCCCTCTCACGTCCATCCCAAAGAACAGTCTCCCAGATTTGTGCGCCACGCTTTGTGTCCTCCGTCGGGTATAAATATCGGCGTGGGCATGTATTTGGTGACCAGCTGAGGCCAGAGAAAGTCGACGAGAGGCGTGGTCATTGAAACGAGGATGTACTATGTCGTACTTGTAGACTTGATGAAGCTTAGTTGAGAATCGGACTCTTTGGAAGTGAAAGATTGACATGGTGGAGTAATTCGAATTTTTGCCTCGTGGGCCAACTTCTTTGATATTGCGAAATTTGACTGAACTTGGCTCTGAGAGAATATTTCACTACTAGGCTCGTAGATGATACCGCGTACAGGTGTTCAGTCTTGCCCTCCTAATTGCTGTTCTTTTTTTTTTGAATCATTTAATGTGTATTCAGCTATCTAGCTATGACACATGACCGGTGCTAGGTATACATGTGGGATGACTCTTTTGACGTCAGAGACACTCATACTCTGGATTTCATTCGCAAATACCACTATGAGGTATGTTCGCTTACACAAACAGTCGACCCTCCTCCGTTAGTACCCACCAAAGGGAATTTCAAAACCTTTGGTTATCCAAGCATGCCTTCGTCATCCATGCATACCAGCGCCGCGAGAAAAGTGGTTGTGTTTTGCTGGATTTGAACCAGCGATCTACTGTCTCAAGTGGGATATGTGTCCAAGTTATCCAGACTCTACTTGGCAGATCGGCCAAGACGATGTACCACCGCACCATCCAACCATGGCGGTGTTTATAGTGTCGCCTGCACTCTCGCAACCGAAGACTTGGCACGCACAAAGCTCAATTTGTAAAAACTCCTTGCCAAAATTCAAAATTCCACGCCCTTCGAGGCTGTATCCGTCCTCTGCATCATCCTATCAACTTGTCCTGATCCCTCTCACATCCATCCCAAGGAATTGTCTTCCATATTTGTGCGCCACGCTTTGTTTCCTCCGTCGGGTGTAAATATCGGCGTGGGCGTGTATCTGGCGACCAGCTAAGGCCAAAGAAAGTCGAAAAGAAGTGTGGTCATTGGAATGAGGATGAACCTGGTCATAATTGTAGACTTGATGGGACTTAGTTAGGAGTCAAACTTGTTGGGAGCGAAAAACGACGTGGTGGAGTATTTTGAATCATTGCCTCGTGGGCCAACTTGTTCGGTATGGCGAAATTTGACTGAACTTGGCTCTAGGAGAATATTTCACTCCCAGGTCCGTAGAGGACACCGCGTACAGGTGTTCAGTCTTGTCTCCTAATTGCTGTTCGTCAGTACTTCATATCCTAATTATCATGTAGATACTCTTGGCAGACTGCGATCTTCACCGAAACTAGCGCACGCCACAATATGCTAGAGAACGAGTCGGTGAGAGGTGTGGCCATTGAAATGAAGATGTACTAGGTCACACTTGTAAACTCGATGAAGTTGTGGGAATTGACCTCTTTGGAAGTAAAAGATGGATTTGGTGAAAAGCCTTTAATCATCGGCTCGTGGGCCAACTGCTTCGTTACTGCAAATTTTGACTGCAATCAGTTCTGAGAGAAACTTCACGACCAAATCCGCAGTGATAACGCCGGCAAAGACGAATTCTTCACCTTCAAGTGGTGCCGGTGTAATCGCTTTGTATGCTCTGCATATCTGGGATAGCCAAGAAGAATCGCATCTGAATCGAAGTCGAAAGCAACCACAAGCATATCAAAAATCGACGACTTCTCGATTAATGTTTGACCTATCATTCTCACACGAGTTCCTTACCTCAATCTTGCTACACAACCTCGCCTCAAACAACGACAATGGCCTTACTCCAATTGCGATCGGGCATTTGCCTCATCGAAAATCGACCATTTCTCACTACAAAATTACGATGCTATGTATACCCGCGAGGAGGAAACTAAGTCATAATCTACAAAGATCAGGTCTTGGTATATGGGGGGCTGTTGCTCTAATGAGACTTCACATCTTGAGGAAGGACAGGCAGCTGGGACATGGGACGAAGGAGTGAAGAGGTCACAAATGGGCATGCTGGGACGCACATTTTTCGAGTGTTTTCGACTTATGAGTGTCTATGGGCGCAGAGGCAACGATTTCAGGTAGTGCAACCGACACTCTAAAAATAGGCAACGATGGAAGGTGTTTTGGTCCACCTCCTGGTCGTCATCTCCCCGAATGAAAGTCTGGGTAGCCTGGACACCTACCTCACTCGAGAAAGGGAGGACTGTGAGGCCATATCTCGCGCGGCGACTATATACAAGATGGCAAAGGCATGTAAAGGTAGTCAAAGATTTTTCCTATTTTACCTTTGGTGGATATTAACGGTTAACGGAAGGTTAAAAGTCCCTAGCGCCAAGGTCTCGATTGGTATCAGCGAATACACCTACTCCATGGGTAGTCCAAGTGTCAAATTGAGCTATCGTCGTATATTGTCATCGAGGAAGCAAGTCTTCTCCGTGTCAGGCTCTTTGAGTGCAGGGTTTGTGCCTGTCATGAATAAAATTTCATTCATTCAATCATTCTGCAGTGATAACGAGAGAGTTCCTTCCATTTCAACAAATAAAAGGGCTCCAACTACCTACTTAAGCCCACAGAGTACTAAATGAGGTAAAATGGATTAAAATATAATTGATATTAATATTGCTATCTGTCAAGAGTACAAGAGGAGTTCGCATTCCGAGGGTCCTAGAATACGACAGTTCAAGAGTTCAGCATAAGATTCAATAATGTCTAAATAGTTCCTAAGAATACAAGAACATAATCTACCGAACCAGAATCATCCCAATTACCCATTATATATTCCTCACTACTGTTCTTGAATTTCCCAGTATACTCTCGTACAGAATAGAATAGTACAGACAAGTACAGATTGTAGCAGAACGAAATAGAATTGAAGGGAATAGAGTATAGTAAGATAGAATAGAACAGAACAGATTAGGATAGGATGTAGCGGAATAGCATACATATCTTCGTCCATAATTCCTATTGATTCGAAATAGGGCCTTGGTCCGTGATACTATCGAGCGCCAACAGACCTTAGAACCTTAAAACCTCAAAAGCAACAACTATCACAACCATTAGAAATACAAGCTGAAAATGTATGAACCTAACAGTCATGCTTTCAAGCATCTACCGAATACTTAGCAAGACACAAAGTAATGTCGCGATTTATATAAGAAGCGAGAACATCGCGTTCAAGTCTTACTGGTATCAAAAGAGGATGCCCAGAGTCGTTAATCTAAAATTCTATTGTGGATATCCGTCACAAAATGTTAATCATACGACTTAACATAACCTCAGTGAGAAAACAGGAGAATAATCGCGCAAACTTTAAGAGGCTAGTCCTTCATATCTATGAGGAGAAATACAGTGGTTTTGGGTAGATCTTCCAGGTAGATTCTTGATGAAAGCTGGTTTGAAGAGTTTGTACTTTAAAAGGAATGTGAGGTAGCAGTACAAGATAGAGTGCATCGATCAGAAAAGGGGTAGAGCGGAATTTACAATAGGTAAATAGTGTAAGTTCACTTTCTGAAGAAAATCATATGAGCTGGAGAGACGAAAACTGACAGAATTGGGAAACTTTTGCCAAGCTCGTTGCATCCTACGTAAGAATTATAGCTAGGCGCCTACATGGGCCCATTAATTCCCTGGACGAGGTAAATTGCATCAAATAATCTCATCTAATATATACATATATATGTATTAGATCGGAGACAAAACAGTTAATTTCTAGAAGTTTTTCACTAACAAGAACTCTTTTGGAATTCAATTGTTCATAATATTTATTTCTTTGCGTTAGTGAAATTTAACGCACTGCTTCCTAACTTTTAAGATGCTAATTTTGCATTCTCCTTAGCACGTCTCTTTAAATTACACATTCGGAAGCGCTTAGAAGAATTTTTTCGAGCTCCGCTAAGGCAATTTTGGATAGAAGAGCATTCTTTGGACGAGATCTGAGTACTAAAGGTGTGTCTATGTAATTTATGCGGGGCTAAATCACCTGTATCGATTCCGTGTTCTAATTTTTGGCGATTATAACTAGGAATGATTATTTTGCCGGCAGCTTGAATGTTTGTTTCACTTGACAGGATGCATGTCCTGAATTGTGGGGAGTTGTCTATAATTTCAACACTTACTCCACCCAGGATTATAGCTTTTTCATTGAATACCATAAAGTCTGTTTCAAATTCGCCTGATATCATTATGCACGGTCAGTAAATTTCAGTTAAATTGCGTCGTGAACAAACACACCATCCATGTAAATCCTATCATCAGGTAGAATTGGATATATCCAGTTATTCGAGCTAGATGTGTATTCGAACTCGGTGAATTTATCCGGATAAAGTATATTCTCTTCCCCTCGAGCTTTCATTATACGAAGAACCTTTCGAAGATATTCTATTCCATAAGAATGCCCGCTTCGACACTTAAAACTAAGCCACCTGTCCTGACACGGCACTGGTAATGGTATTGGTCCGGAATCGCTTCTTTGGATTAACATTGGTAAAACGCGAACCAAACTAGTGAAGAGCATTATCATGCCGCTAAACGAGAGGCGTTTCATTGCGTTTGGGGTCTTTTTTGATTCCTTATGGAACCTGGCCTGTGTTGTTTTGCGGCAAATGGTGGATAATTGAGAAAATAGTACCGCATACTCAGAGTGGGCTGATAGATGGTAATATTGCCTCTTCTACCAAGTAGTAATTCCGCAACTGGCCAGGGGAACCAAGTCACAGACGAAGGAGCATTGATAACGATTCAAATTTTAAACATTCGGCTCTTGAATCCAGATCCTTAGTCGTTATGCTGAGCCGAGTTTTTAGGATTATGATCAAAGTCGCTCCACCACTGGCATCCACAGAACCAGACTCATCCATCACCACTTGTTGTCCAAGCTCTAATATTATAAAGATAAGGCTACTGGCTGAATTGTGATCTTCTGAAGTCCAACGAGTTAGAATGTTGTCGAAAGTGTGTTTGATCCACTGAATATATTTCCTACTTGTCTTACTCTGCAAGTGAAATGAGAAAGTGCGCTTGCGCTGAAATGACTGTGAAATTCTATGGGTAGATGCATTTGATATATTTTTAGAAGTAAAGCAACGATGATATCAATCACCGTTTGGGATAGCTCGTTCTTCATTCTCAAACTAGTTCACTTGCAGACCAAACACAAGAACGGTCTACTGTGTATCAAAGTGTATACCCGATTAAGCATTTATGCTAATCATGCTGTATGAATGAACCAGCTTGCGTACCGCGCATAATGCTACTCGTGTAACGCTATGCCGAGATTTGATATCCCTCATGCGCCACAATGAAATAATAGTTAAGTATGTACCAGCTACTAGATCTAGGATAACTTTTTTTTGATCATATTGTATTTAGCTATCTAGTTATGAAAGTTTTCACCATTCTGTACCCATCATAGCTGAGCTTAACATTAATTCCAGAAAATAGTATGCTTGACAGCTTCACTTGTCAATATCAATGCTACCCATTTTCATGTTGATTTTAATCGCGACTACTCAGCCGTCCCACAACACGTGGTTGAGTGGCTAGTTGTGCTATGCGAATTTTAAAATGAACGAATCGCGCGACGCGTGACCTCAGCGACCTCGATAATTGCATTTGGCCTCTTCGCATCGATGAATACGACGAATAAGATCAAGGGTACGAGCTAGGTAGCGTCGGGTAGAGATTAGGAATGGCCAGTCGGCCTCGCACGAGTCATGGCGCTGGCTTCACATCCACGGACATCTCTTGGCTGGAAAGATAGCCAAGAGTCCGAGTAATCCCGTGTCTGTTGTCAAACTTACCATCTGTGGAAATATAGAAATCAAAGAGGTAGATCATATTAGTGTGAAAGGAGAATCCTACCTGCAGTTCAGGTAAGCTGTGGATGTAGAATCTAAGCAATTAGTAACGATTGGAGAGAGAGGAAGGCAGACAAGACTTAACTATCTGATTGGAGTAAATATCTCGCTGCCACTCTCACCCATCAGCATGTGGGCAAGAGCAGGCAGATACGTCTCTTTGGGTAGTGCTGGGAAACGTACCTGATAGGAGTCGGTGGAACATCGAGCGACTTGTGAAGATACCGAGCTTGGCCTTTTACAAGAGACAAGGTTAGTGGGAACCGCAGGCGACGCTTAAAGTACCGTTGTGGCCCGATGGTGCAGTGGTACATCCTACGAGCTAGTCTCCTGAGTAGATTCTGGATGGCTTGGAACCTATTCCACTTGAGATGGGAGGTTTATTACGTTAAGGAGTAAACTGAGGCCATTTTGCAACTAACTCCAGAGAAATGTGAGTATATTAATGAGGCTGAATCTATTCTTGATATTGCCGCTTTATACATCGACTCTCTAGTATGGGGGATCCAACTATCGGTAGTGCTCCACTTACTTCGACGCTATCTAGTCCCATCTTATTCCATCATGCCCCATTACAGTGTGTTCTATTCTATCCGTCACATATTGATCGTGGTGCAGTGATATGCCAGGATTCCCTCATGTAATGAAAGAAACATGGCAAGATCACTGGCTCGAATCCAGCAAAAATCAACTATATTTCTCATCCCGCCCGCGTACCGGATGACCGAGATATGGCGGGATACCAAAGGTTTTCAAGACTCTCTTTGCTCAGTACTCACTGGCGAGGGTCGAATGTTTTGGCCAAGCAAAGACACTACACAGTGGTATCTTCTTATCCATTCGTACAAAAAAGCGTGTGGGGGTAACTATTATTGATGCTCGGTATCACAATGCATAATAAATATGGGACAACTAAACATATATATCGCTCGCATGGCTTGAGTCCATTGCATAACACTCCCGACTGTATTCACAATGCCCTCATCTACTCTGCGCTAATCATTCCTTTCTACATTGGCCTGATATTTCGAGTTAGACCTTCTGGTCCTCTTGTCTTTACATGGCAGGTTGTACAATCCTCCACCTTTTTGACTATCATCAGACCCACGAGCCAAGTTCATGTCCTCGAGGCACTGCTCATGTATACTAGCTTTATAGATGAAAACAATTTTATGATAGAAGAAGAGAAGAATTGGCCAATAATGCTGGAAGAATTTATTAGATCACAGTCTAGCGTTGGTATAGACGCCGTGACGGAATCCGAGTAGGTGTTCAAGTCAATTTGCAATACTACGTGAAGGGAAAAGGATCTATAGCTACGGTGAACGGATACTTACAACACTTAATGCACTTTGTATATCTGCTGATTGTCGACTTCCTCCTAGGCATCACCACGCTGTAGCGTTACTTTGACCTTCTTGATACTGGCACCGTTTCTCTCGAGTCTCTCCATCACTCTCCGTCAAATCTTATCACTGATATCCTCCAAGTGACGGTTAGATATCTCCGTAGAATTCCTACCACTTATTTAATTCTATACGAGCAAGTTTTTGGATGTTGAAAAATTAAATTAATTGGTTATAATATTCTCCCTACTAGCTACACGCACTCCCCACCAGACTTGTTTTATTTTGAATTATTGCCACTTAGCCCTCACCAACTTCCAATAGGCAGTTGACGCTTCTAACCTTATTTTTGCCAATAAAGAGTTGACCATTATCATGTATTCGAGTGATGAAGAATTTGAAATGATACCATCATCCTTCTTAGCTCCAATTATGGTCAAGCCGTAGTAGGCGCAAGTTAAGTATCCAACAGTAGAACATATATTTCTTTGTCGTCTTGTATGCAAACGTAAAGTCGGTCGATGATAATTTCAGACACTCTCATGAGTAAATGATTTCCACTCCTTTGAATCTTGCGCTCTTGCAATATTTTTTCGGTGGAAGCCTCTTACATTATCGAACATGATTCAGAGTCAGATGAATTATCACCGCCACCACCGCCACCACCATAATCACCACCACCACTGTAAGAGGCTGCTGGTGCCGAATAACTTGAATACGACGAGCTTTCGTAGCTTGAAGATAAATCTGTGATAGAGCTGCTCTCTAATAAACTGCTTAAATGGAAGCCGGAGCTCGAACCGCCGCTGGAACTTGAGACAGTGTCGATCAAAACACCAAAGCTAGAGCCCGCACCCAATATTTTTGAGCTCAAGGCATCCTTTAAATCGTCAGGTGGAGTCCATTCACTGTCAACAAAATCTGATAAGGAAAGTTCAAAATCTGAATATTCTTCCTCTTCCTTTTCTTCTTCTTCCTCTTCTTCCTCTTCCTTTTCTTCTTCTTCCTCTTCTTCCTCTTCTCCTTCCTTTTTCTCTTTTTTTCCTTTTCCGGGTTTTTTCTTCCCTCCGTATGCTGAGTGACCACCGTATGATTGGCCAGATCCATATCTACCATGTCCCCAATTTTTTCCAGGATTACTATCAAATCGAGAATCAAAACCCGGTCGCATGTATTGATGACCACCATAGCGACTTTCGTCGTACCTATCGCCGTACCTACTGCCGTACCTATCGTCGTGATATCTCTCTCTCCTCCGATATTCCACTTCCTGGTCACGCTCTTTTTGCGCCCGTTCAATGGCGTAACTTTGCTTGGTAAATTTACAAGGAGTAAAATGGCCCATAACGTTTGGTCTGACAAAATTTACGCCCCCTAGAATTCTATATTCCTTGCTGAGTACGACATAATCAGACTCTTCAATTATGTTTATCAAATTTGCCAACGTTCTGGAGTGAAATAATGTCTTTTCGGGAATTTCAAAGTTCTCGTTATAGACCTTATTACCTGGTAAAAGTCTGTAGATGTAGTATTTTCTACCGGTGTGATAATTAAATCCCAAGTCGATACTCGGACTCCTTCTTGTCCATGACAAGATTTTAGCAATGTGAACGGTTTTTTGCAATTGTTCATTACTGTAAACATGCCTCTGCGCACACATAAATCCAATCTTGTTGGCGGCGTCGGGCACATATAATGTAACACGTTTAGAACCTTTACCCCTAGGCGCTGACATGACGGAAGCTGTGGCACTGAGAAAGACAGCGACACCGCGCAAACTGAGAAACTTCATCTTGGTAATGACTGATGCTACATCCGCCGCCGCGTGGCGTGTGATGGGCGCGGGAAGAGGATGAAGGCGATGCAGTAAGACTACCAGGCGACCCACGAACGGCTTTAATGGCACCAACGGGAATCTCAGCCATCTTATCCTCCTTTCTTCCAGTCTCGCCTGACTATTTCGGCCAACTAGATAAGACTTTGGGCAATAAGGAGGGAATGGCATTGGATCTCCAACTTCGCGCATCCATCTCCCCTACCGTGCTTGGCTCCTGAATCGCCGATATTTACTGCTTCCTCTCCGCACAATTTGCCAAGAAAATCTCCACAATTGCTATTTCTCATCTTCTCCCAGCATGATCATCTTCCGCAATTTTGATTTCCGCGCGGAATTCTCATCTTTGCTCGCAAATAGCGACTAAGGCACCTTCTAAATTTCTACCTACAGGCTTTCCGGTCCCTACCAAGCCACTTCGGATTAGATCCCTTGAACTTGAGTCCTAGGCTTTCCGCTCATTACTAGATGACCATACTCAGAAGTGGGAATGGATAGGCCGCTGGCTGAAGGTAGGGACCTGGATGGTGTGAAGAGAACGCATCATCCGCGAAAACAACTTCTAATTGCCAGAAATTGGACTGCGAGACGACTAAGATTATCAAAACCCTCACTCCCGTTTCCTCTGCCCTGACCAATTTGCTCTTATCAACTGACCTAAGACGGGGTTTTTTGTAAAGTTCGGGTCCTAATCTCAGCTAAACGTCGGCTCGGGGTGCAGGACGGGATAAGGCGACGGGGGTCATTGCTATTATAATTACGTGTCTTCATAGCTACAAGTATTATTAGGGGATAACCATGGAATTACTTAGTTACCACTTTCGATTTGAGTGGAAATTTCTTTCCAGGATGTTACACTCAATTTGCAGCGTGCTAAAAGGAGGGAGAATATCTTACGCTTCTACTTCAGTTTCTCCGAAGACCACATACGAGGGAACGAGAGCAAATCTTCCTTTCTACAAAGGCCCATTGTTCCACTAATCATATTCTAAAATCAACCTTGAAAATGCTCCGTTCCAATTATTTGCTCAAGGACCTTTTAATTCTTGTCATTGTAAGATGGGCGACGTAACCTTCACTACTGAACCGACCTAAGACATACACTCGAGTACCAGTTTGTACTATGCATAATTTAATATGAGCAACTCGCGTAAAATGCGACCTCGATAATCACATTTGGCCTCTTTGCATCAATGAGGTAATTAGGCTTCTTCGATGCATCCACGAACACATCGGATCCGATTTAGAAGAAGCAACTGGGTAGAGTCGGATGGAGATTGTGAACACAAGGCTAGTTCCTCAAAAGGTTTCGGGGATTACCGTGGCCAGTCGGCCTCGCACGAGTCATGGCGCTGGCTTCACATCCGTAGAAATCTCTTGGCCAGAGGTGAATGAGGAAGACGTATAGTGGCAATTCTAATTACTCTAGCATCCATTTTCAAACCCGCGACTTGCAGAGAGCTTTGGAAAGAAACTTCACCTGCAGCTCACGTACGGTGTGCTAGTAAAAAAAGAGAAGCATTCAATATGTGATGATTGGAGATGGGTCGACATGAGAAATCCTACTGTCCTGATCTAACACTGTTCCATCTGCAGACTTCGTGGTGGGTGGCAGGAAGGAGGGCAAAGACTGAACACCTGCACGCGGTGTCCTCTACGAACCTGGGAGTGAAATATTCTCCCAGAGCCAAGTTCAGTCAAATTTCGCAATATCAAAGAAGTTGGCCCACGAGGCAAAAATTCGAATTACTCAACCATGTCAATCTTTCACTCCCAAAGAGTCCCATTCTCAACTAAGCTTCATCAAGTCTACAAGTACGACATAGTACATCCTCGTTTCAATGACCACGCCTCTCGTCGACTTTCTCTGGCCTCAGCTGGTCACCAAATACACGCCCACGCCGATGTTTATACCCGACGGAGGACACAAAGCGTGGCGCACAAATCTAGGAGACAGTTCTTTGGGATAGACGTGAGATGGATCAGGACAAGTTTACAAGATGATGCAAAGAAAGGATATTACCTCGAAGGGCGTGAAGTTCTGAATTTTGGCAAGAGTTTTACGAATTGAGCTTTATGCGCGCCAAGACTTCGCTTGCGAGAGTACAGCTGACACTATAAACACAAGCAAACGATGGAAGGTGTTGTGGTCCGTCTCCTGGTGGTGTTCTCCGTTATAGTCTGAGTAGCCTGGGCACCTACTCCACTTGGGAAGGAGACGCCTCAGACCATATTTCGCGCGGAGAAAAGTTGAAAGATGACGGAAGCATGTCTGGATAACTCAGGGCTTTTAAGACGTTCCTCTGGGTGAGTATTTATGGATGAGGGTTGACTTGGGGTGAAGAAAAAGCCCCCATAACTTCGCAGTGGTACTTGCAAATGAAATCCTAGGCATGAGTGCTCTACTTTTAAATTGAGTCATCAATCATATACTTTTCTTTGATAATGCGTCGTAGCTAGAGAGCTGCATACGCAATTAAAATCTGATCCAAAAAAAGAGTGGCAGGGAATGCTACTTAGTCAGCTGGTTGGTTAAGTGAACACTCTCCACACCCTCGTTACTTGTCGTACATCATATGTTCTCCAACTACCGTATATTACTATCTATAATATCTTACCCTTGTCTATCTGCTTTCTCAATTTCCTAGCAACGTGTCGTACACTGAAATACAATCAGCTCTCCTATGGATTATTCAAACGATCGTTCAGGATTGGATGTTCATTTTGTTGTTATTAAGAGGTTAGATGGATAAGTGTTGTGGAGGGACAGTATTTATATAAACAGGAATGTGGAATGAACATTCTGGTGGTGAGCGAATGTATTTAGACTATCCGAGGATAAATGGATATCTAAAGATGAACGCGTGGTCAAAATAATAATTAAGTGCACCTGGTCATAAACATGTTCGATTGGCTCTACAGCCATGCCCATTGATTATCTGATTTACTCATGTAATGCACAACGACATTCTTTGAATTTGATTTCATTTCGTCCGATTTGGTGACCTGGCTGCACATGCAGGTGTCTACGAACTCTAATATTTACATTGGAGGAAACCTTGCAGTAAAAACCCCTTCAGCTGTCTGATTGGATTCTGCGCCAATATAGTCGTATTTTTGACGTTATTTACCTTAGTTTCGAAGGATAGGATTGTCCATTTTCGTAGCAGCTCGCCTCTTCCCTTTACCTATCTTGGACAAGACATGACCATTTACTTTATATATTGGGACGGATGTCCACATTGGCAGCATGCTTTTCCTACTCCTGGTACATTCTTTCGGTATAAGTAAGCATTGAGCCCAATGTGCTCGCTTCTTACTTATGTAGCAATGCTGCTCTGGGCCCTGCTGAGGTTTTGGTGGATTTGGATAGGTGACCCTCTATAGTTCATAAGTCTACCTCTTTTCTCGTAGTTATATAAATTTACAACTTTCCACTCGTGCGTATCGACATTATTTGATACTAAAGCTCCTGACAATTTGCACGACTCACATTTGAGTCGTGCATTGATATAAGCTTGCACAGATAAAGTTATGTAATTTAATCACTGAGTATTGCCTATGAAGCCCTTGCTTCGTTGCGCAGACTAGGATCATAACACATTGTTTATATGTTTATTTAATTTGGTTTCATTCGTAGGACAAAACCTCATATTTATCTGGATGTAGAACCGGTGGACCCGGCCGAGATTTAACCATGAGCTCTTCCCTACCCGTTCACACCCAATTTAGAGCTGATAAAACTGGAGCACATTATACAAGTAATCCAGAAAACAAAGAAACGAGATGAACAATTGATATTATTATGTTGGAAATGGACACACGGAGTGTTGTGGACGTACGGGCCCTCCATTTCGTCTAGGTTCCCGACACGATCTTGTGTGTATTAAAGAGGTTGGAATGAGTAATATGGTAGTACTTCAGGCTGCCTATTGGAGACATGAGCCGCTGTATGGCGTGGACACAAGGAGGTTATTGGGGGTTTTCTATGCCTAGATGGCGCCACACTCGTTCATGCTGTGACTTAGGCATCGCGTCGCTTACACTTGTACTCGTAGCGCACACTTAACACATTTTTAGCTATAATCCGAACATGATACTCTGCTAGTCAACTTCTTCTTTCGTTCTATAAATATTGCGCCTATTTCATTGCGCGATATTTCCAACATATTATTGATGTTGAGTTAGCATTCCCCATCTTTAGTTCTCCGCCGCCAGTGTACCGGCCATCAATATCCAAAAAAACCGTCCTTGCGTCCAGCAGAAAACTAGTTTGTGTCCGGTCGACTATATAAGCCTGTAGCCTGTGCAAAAATTCTCAATTACTCTAACCCTTTGTGTCCAAGGAGTTGCCTAATGGAAGCATCCAAGCTCATGTCTTCTCTCAGCTTAAGCATCAGACTGAAGCGTTGATGCGAATCTTGAGAAGACTACAGCTACCTAATCCATTTATATCATGGGTACAGTTATTTTTAAGTGGGAGATGCATACAGCTATATTTTAATAATCAACTAAGCAAGGTGTTTCCAGTCACTGGCACACCTCACGGAAGCCCTATTTCTCCAATTCTTTTCTTGATTTCTACCAGGTATCTATTTGCGCCTCAACAGAGAATCTCTTGCCTTCAACTATCATACATTGATGATATTTCGATCTCAGTGTCATCTACCTCTGTCAAGAAAAATATTACTCATTTAAAACAAATTTTGCAAGGTATAATGGAAGAGGCCAAAAATCTATCTGTTACATTTGAGACAGACAAGACTGAGCTGATCCATTTCTCACACCACCGGAAGCAACTTACAACACCACTGATGCTTAATAACCAGTCTCCCCTATTACCCAAAGAGGTGGTAAGATAGCTAGGTATTTGGTTTGATAGGAAACTAAACTTTAAGGTTCATGTAGAAAAGAGACTTCAACTAGCTCATCGGGCTCTGCAAAGAGTAAAACAGCTG